ACCGATCGCCTCGCTGTTGTCGTGGTCGCGGGAGGCTAATGAATCCTCCATCTTAATTGAATTTCCTCGGATTTAATCTTAATCGTGATATATCGCCGCAGCCGCACGTGGCGGCATAATTTCACGATTGCATTAGCCCTTACGGAGCGTTCTCTCGGTGAGACCACTAGTCTTTACAGTTACTCCCCAGTTTGAAATCGATCGTCTTTATCAGCGGGATCGTATGAATGTGGATCGTGACGAGGACTTTCTTTCTTCTCTCTTTCTAGTAGTCTTGATAAAATCGATCCCTTGTCATTGATACGGCTCATAATGTTCGCAGTTTTCTTGCGGCCGTGCGGCGATATAAATATCGTCTCTTAACGATCGGTTCGTATGCCTAACGATCGGACATCGGGCTGCGCGTTCCGTTGAACCAGATACGTTTCTCAACGCACGGCTCGTAAATTCAGATCACCCTGCTGTTAATCGGCCCGATGGTGTAAGCGAGACAACCTGCTAACGAAGGACGAGTTGGACCCAGACGCGACGCGAGACGAGACGGAACGGGATGAGCGTCCCTTCTAAAAATAAATTACGACGTCCGGCACGAGAGTAGCTCCGCGCTTAGAATCGCTTTAGATGTGTTTTTAAGGTGCGTTTTATGTCCGTATAACTATAAACACTTTGTCTCGCGCACGCGCACACATATTTCGTATAGAGAATTTCTTGGGATCCAGTCTAATTTTTTCAAATAATTATGGCTTCTAGTCAGAAGTGTAATATTTCCAACGTACGATTTCTAGATGGGAAATAACCAAAGTTATTTCCAATACTCTTTCTGATTTTTACATTAGAATTGAATAAGAAGTCAACATACGTTGACTTTCCAAATAATTTCAGTAAAATACTTAAACTGCTTAAAAATATTTTGTTCAAAATAATTTAATTAAAATGTTTTATTTTTTTATTTTTTACTCTATTGAGAGAATGTAATATTTGTAGGAAAATGGGACCCTGCTTGATAAAAATACCCGAAAATTGTGCTTGTTCTTTTTTTGAAATAACTCTTATAAATGTCTTGAATAAAATAATATATATATATATATATATATATATATATATATATATATATATATAAT